AATAAATAAATAAATAAATAAATAAATAAATAAATAAACAAACAAACAAACAAACAAACAAAACAAAACGTAGGAAGCCAGTGTAACATTAGAAAGTTTGGCTCCTTGAAAACAAAAAAAAAATTATTAGCCTCATATATGCAGGATGACAAAAGATTTTTGTGCAGGACTGTGAATCATACTGAAAAAAGTAAATGTACTCCTGGTGCAAACATCTTTCACAGAGGCCACTTTGATCCATTAAATAAAGAAAACACATCAAGTAAACTTCAAGAAAATCAAAAATAATTAAGTGTCCCAGGAATCTGTGGCAGTGAAACAGCTGGCAAAACATCTAAACTCATGAACTGCCTCACCTAAACAAAACTGACTTGTTTTGGGGTTGAACCAAAAATCTAACTATGATTTGTTTTAAAGTCCCTGGTGCTAAAAGGTTTTTGACACGTTCTTTCAGACCTGATGTCATAACAATTCAGATTTTTCTGTACTGTGGGCTAAAACTGTGACATTAACCCAACACTGGTATTCATTTTATTTAATTCTTTTTAATAGTTCTTTAATATTTACAATAACTATGACAAACAACAACAAATTGCTTGGTGAACTTACATAATGTTGCATTTTGGTGACTGAACTCTATAATATGTAAAGTATCTGTATAACTGAGTTCTTGTTGAAGTTTGGAGGACAGAAAGGAAACTACTGAAGTCTGCCACTAGAGGGAGGCCACAATCTATTTTTGGTTGTCATATTTACAGGATTATTAAGATGGTGTTTGACCAACTATGTGTCAAGAGAACCGCTGATCTGAGAACAGAATCTATAACTCTTAGCCTCATTAACTAATTAAATTGTTTTTTTTTAATAATTTTTGCATATTACTTCTCTAAACACCCCCCTCACCAGGGAAATGTAGCTTACAGGACAACTTTTTTACACAATCAGCTAAAACTGATGAAATAGTTTAGATGAAATAAAGAAATTCAACTGAAAAAATGGAAATCATAATTAAAACAAGACAAGGAAAAAAATAATAAAAACTTTGGCACCTCTGATGTTCCAGAGACTCCAGATAGAGATATGCTGACCCCATGAAATCATCCTGAAGTCCAAAGTCATAGTCAAACACCTACAAAGAGACAAAAACCAGTGACTGTCAGGGAAATCAATCAACACTACCTTAATTGTTGTTGGGCACGTTTTTTACACCAGCTTCTCAAATTTGATCTAGAATTAGAGCTCATCTTCAGAAGGAATACAAATTTTACTAAAACACAAGAGTAAAGACAAGTTTGGACTTCTGTGGTCAGTATTTATAACTTAAGTGCTGTAGGTAGAAAATGAATCATTTACTCAAGCTTTTCTGTTTCTTTGAAGAAACATCGAGATGAAAATTCCAAAGATTAGTACTGCGATTGAACTAATACTTTTAGGTTTAAGCCAGTAATTCTTCATGACATACTTTAATGACCTAGGTTTTCATGACATGCTGTTTATCACCAGATATGATTAAAGTCAGAACAAGATTTGCTAACAGTCATTCTTAGATATCACTTGTGTTTATCTTTGTGGTTTCCCTTGACCTAGGATGAAATCTTGCTAAGATGACATAATAGTGTTTGTTAAACTATATATATATATAAATATATATGAGACCTCTCAACTGTCTTAGAGAGGCAGAAGCACAGAGACAGGAGCAGAGAGCAGGGGGACAGTCTGATGTTGTTCTCTGTGTTCCTGTTGTTGCAATAAAACTCAGCTGATCATTCCATGGACCACCTTCATTCTTGGACCACGTATTTCTGTCTTTGTTAAATAAATATTTCCATAACAAGTACTATTAACATTTTGTTTAAAAAAATTCAATATGGCTTGCTAAAAATAATAAACCATAATAAAGAAGAAATGTTCATCTCCAAAAAGTTCAGATGAGTTTATTTATATATCCATTCACAACAAAAACAATTTTTGCAACCTCACAAAAAATATAAAAAAAAATTAAAAAAAAAACAACAACAGCAAAAAAAAGTTCAAATGATAAATCCAATTCAGGTGTCCTTTTTGCAGTTTATTTCATAAAAAAGAAATGCCAGGAAACAGAGAGAGCAAAGTTAAATTTGAAGTTTGAAAACACCGACTGGCAACAGATTGAGGAACATGAATACAGAATACGGCACAGTTTGCCCGTAAATTAATTAATTTTATACAATTTAACAATCTATAGTGTTCTGGACAAGCAAAGACCCTGTGCAGCCATTGACCTTGATCTTAGAGATGGGGTTATGAAAAAAGGAGACAACATTCTGTCTAGGGATGTATGTGTATCAAGTTTCATTAAATTATCTTAAGCAGATCAGAAGTTATGGACAAGAATGTTTATGTTTGTACAGAGACTATACCATCATACATCTGCCTTCAACCGTTTAATAAAAAAGCAGATGAAAACCCTCATTTGACTGTGAAAGACCTTGGCTCTAATAAAATATTGAAGCATCATTCTACACTAACACCTGCAGATATGAAACTCAACCACAGCAAAGCCTGATTCAGTCTTGAAACAGATAAACCTGAGAGTTTTGGTAGCAGCTGGCAGCATAACAGCAAACCTCCTCAGTAATATGAGATTTTCCCCCCAAATATCAGTTTGAGCTACAAGTGATTACAGTAACAACAACTGTAAGATTGACTGTAAAAAGAGTAAAAGCTACAAATTAAGACAAGCATTTCATCAAAAACTATTGACTAAAATTTGTGAAACTTGCCAAAGGAGATCTCTAAAATTCTGATAAATCTGGGTGCTTCGACTTTGTTTTGTTTTCTGCTTGCAAACTATTAGTGAATAAATTAAATAAGTTATCCTTCAGGGAAAAAAATACTGATTATTTTAGGCTAGAACATAAATGAACATAAACCTAACAAATAGAAAGTAAGAAAGACAGTTTTCAAAGTTTGGAATCTGCTGTACCTTGACATAAAGAGGATCTCTCAGAGTTTCCACCAGGAGGCTCACTCTCTCATCCCACACTGGGTTCAGGTTTTTATGGATGGTTTTGCTTCTGAACACCTCTTTCCCCGCTATTTTAAACTTCACATATGGGTCACTGGTCCCTGAAAAAAGAGGATCAAACAACAAGGAATACTGTTAGATAAAAACCAAAACTACCAAGACCATTAGACAATAAATAAATGAAACATAAATTCACTGGGGGAAAAGTACCAAAGTTATAAGTGGCATGAATATAAAAATCAACCAAATGAACTTTTTTTCTGTTAAATGTTGTGTATTAAACATATCTAAAAAGTCAAGTAGGTTCTCTGGATGGGTTCTTCTTTGTTGAAAATGTTTCGTCTCTTCTCCAAGAAACGGCTTCAGTCCGAGGCGTTACAGGTAAACTCAGCGTAGAAAAAAAAAAATGTTTCAGCTTCTATGAAACTCCCGCAACGTCTGAGACTGAGACATCTCAGTCCAGGAAAGCCTATCTGCCATCTTTCACATCCTCTTGTGTGAACTGTACATATTTATCCACATGGTTGATGTGATCTGTGAAATGTTGGGCTTTCCGGGGGGTTAATTTTAACCCAGAAGTCATCAACATACCTGAACCAATGGCTCAGCGGTGTTCCTAAAAAAGACACTAAAGCTCTTTTCCACCTCCTCCATGTACCTCCTCCAGGTTTGCAATAATATGAGATACTGGGGAGTCCATAGAACACCCATGTTTCTACCTGCCATCCCTCACCTTGTCCACAAAATCCTAAAAATGGTTTAAATACACAAATACCATAGAATTTATTTAAAGTAACATAATAATCAGTTTTTTTTCTCTTTAATGTACACATGAAATATAAGATTACACTACTTTGTAATTTACAGTATGTTTGCTTGTATTACTGTAAAAATTTAATTCAGATGATGTCTCCATTTGACCACTAGATGGTGGCATCGATCAAAAGTTTAGGAGGTTCAACTTTATTGCATTTAGTTCATGCAAGCATATAGACATTCCATTAAGTTGATAATCCATACAAATTCAAAGTGCACAACTGTTTACATAAACAGTATTGTGAGGAAAACATAAGCATTTTATCATGAATTTCTATTGATGATGACCAGGACAGGAATATACCAACATAGTTCCTAATTGAGCGCTCTCTTATTTCATGCAGTCCTATTGGACAAGGTCTATTACATAACTATATATAGCAAACTGCTTTGGCAAACAATGAGAAATGAAATACGCTTATCGAGGACTTTGTCAAAATGTTGGCCTGGAGGTTAAAAAATTGCAAAAATATGTATGACAGAATATTACATTATTTCCAGGTTTGGTTTCATTTTTATTTATTTATTTTTTTTCACTGAAAATAAACAGAACAGAAAGGATGACTTGGTTTTTTTCACAGAGGCCTACATTGCTGCCCACACATACTATACCAGGGATAACGTTTTAAATTACATAATTATGTTTCTTAACGTTAAGTGTACTGACTCTAAGATTTGTTAAGTTTAACACATGCAGGTTCCAGATGTTCTATTCTGTACACACCTCTAATGAAAGTTCATAGAGGATTCTCTCATCTGCTGCTCTTGCAGAGGTTTCTGATATTAATTTTTATTAAAGAAACCGTCTAAAGACCTTTTCTATTTTTGCAATGAAGCCTTTAGGGCAGAACATACATACTGCTGTTCGAATTTTGGATCCCTCAAAGGCAAGATTAGAATCTGTGATAATGAGGTTTATCAAATATAATCTATGTTTACAAGAAGATGAGTATAACAGCATTATTCTGTGTGAATGTGTGTTTTTAGCGCATAAATCTCTGTTATCACCCACCCACCGCAGCTAAAGTCATTAGCAAGCAAATATCAGGTGGGACCAAAAATTCCAATTATCAAACCAACCTGAATCCTACACACTTCCCGAAGCCTGTGACAGATTCATTTGAGTTTTTTCTTTTCTTTTTCTTTTATTTTTCTTTTGTTTGTTACCAAATGTAATCTGATCTGTTGTGTTAGGCTACAAAGAAGTTATCTGAAGATAAGTTTGGGTTAATAAAAGTCTCAGTGTTTGCACACATATCAGTTCATTATAGCATCTCATTAACCATAAAGAGTTTCTCTTACATAATGTTTGGTGCTTATTAAGGTCAGTAAATGAACAGTAATCTAAAAAGAATGTTTTGTGTATGATACAAAAACAATAAATAAAATAAATAAACAAAATAAAAAATAACTACATTGATGCCAGTCAAAAAGTAGGAAAATAAAAAGCTTCTGTATAGGATTAAAATATATGCAACAATAATTTTCTCTGTACAAGTGTTATTAGCCAGAATCAAAACAAAAGCATGGCTTTGTTTGAAATGGATTTGCTGATTTTCAGCTGCCAGCAAGCTTTGATGTGAGAGCAGCATGAAAAGTGCTAACAGTGGCCCAGTGGGAAAACATGTCCTTTTCTTTACATCAAAAACATCACATGCTCATGTAGAGCAGCCAGAGTTACTTCACACACACTCTTCTCTGCCAGGGTTTAATAGGCTGTTGCCCTTGACATCACAGCAGATTTGACTTGAGGACAGAAATGGGATTAACTGACAACAAATATAATCAGGACTGAAGCTATTTTTGTGTGTGTGTGCGCACGTGTGCGTGCGTGCGTGCGTGCGTGCGTGCGTGCGTGTGTGTGTGTGTGTGTGTGTGTGTGTGTGTGTGTGTGTGTGTGTGTGATAAAACAGAAAACTAAAATAGTCAAGCATGACAGATGACATAAATTGTAAAGTGTAAATCTTAGAATAAAAATACAACAGAAATAAAAATAAATCTAATATTCTAGCATCTGACATATTGCCTGCCATCTTTCATGCCAGCGTTTTAGGCCTGTACCATCATATCTTAAGAAATGGTGGAGTTGTTAATAAATCTCAGTTACTGTCACAAAAAATTTTGGCTCATTATCTGTAAAACTGGTTGTGTTTTTGGTCATTTGTGTGTAGGCTAACGTTGAATGGCTTTCTGGGGCATCTTAAATTGGAATGGATAAAAATAAATCAGTTGTAGATCTAATTATTATTTTCTGAAAATTTATTCAAAGTTGTTCATGAGATATTTTTCTAACAGACAAACAGGATAGACTCCAATAGTTAACACTAAGTTTTATATATATGCTCAATAAATAGTAGCACTTAGTGTATGTGTTGTGAAAGACTCTGCTGAAATGTATCTTGGTGCAATATGTAAAATCGTCAATTTGATTGTCTTTCAACTCCTGTAAGTTTAGTTAAAAACCATCCAGTGGTTCATGAGATATTTTGATAACAGAGATATTTTGATAGCAGACAATCACACACAAAGACACAAAACATCCGCCTTTAACATTTGGCGAAAGGCAATAAAAATGGTTCCACACCACAACTTGGGCAGAATCAGCTTCCCACCAGAACAACAGGAAGTCTTTTTCTATAACGTGCTGTCTTTCTGAGCCTCAGCAGGTCAATATTCCCCGGGCGCACATCACTGACTCAGAGTCTCTGCATCCCACAGTGCCAGCTTTATGGGGCCATAACACAGACAAGCTGAAGAGTATGAAATGGAAAAGGCTTCTGGTGTAGGAGGGTGACTGAAAATGAGCGAGTTGGGATTACAGTGGAGGGAAGAGACAAAGGAAGTGCCTTTTAAGAACCCACCCGCCTCTGTGTCGTGACACGCCAGGTATTTTTAAAAGACTTAAACACGTTTGAAGACTCCTTCAAGAGACAAGTGATGTACAGTTTGTACCAAAATGAGGACTGCTGGGCGGATAGGTCAATAAGACATAGACACTGTAAGATCAATAAGGTCTACAGAAAATATTTACCAGTGACGTAAAAACCTAAAACTAGATGGAGTTCAGCACCGTGGGTTTAATGGATTGGTGCACCCCGGGCATTTCTCTGCCTTGAAGTCAGAATGCCATGAAATAGAAGTTCTGGGTTTTGCAGGGCTCAATATAAAGAGAACATGTGTCCCAAACTGATATATTTAGTAACTGTTGTAGGTGCTGATACGCAGCCATGGAGATAATTTTATAACTCCCTGTTGAGTGGCGTTAGTGCCAATACTTTTACAGTACAGAGAAGAAATAAAACCAGTATGGTCAGAAACAGGAAAAAGATTGCAAGTAGGTTTAGGAAGTGTTGATGTAAAAAGTGAAGGAAGGTAAAGAATGTAGTGTCCTGATGCATCTCATTAATCCAGGTAGAAAAAATCAAAAAGAAAAAATAAGTAGGTCCTCTGGATGGGTTCTTCTTTAGTGAAACATTTTGTTAGCCTGGCCCTTGCCTTCCTACACAGCTCCGCTCAATTCTAGTTTCCCTTCACTGCTCCGTCTGGGATGTCTCCCATAGACAAGGATTTCGCTGGAAGATTTTTAGCCGACCCAATCAAAGAACAGAACGTCAATTTTCTGTGCAGTGTCTGCTTGCAGTTTATTTTTACCTGGGCCAATCAGCAAACAGAAGGCGGAGTTTTGAAAGACGTCGATTTTCTGCGCAGTGTCTGCTAGTTAGTTTAGCAATGCCAGTGGAGGAAGTGAATGAAGCCAGCCGTGTTGATAAGGCTTCCAAATTATGTGTGTCAGACAAAGCAGCAGCTCTCATTTACAGTCGTCTCGTTCGGCTCGGTACTTTTCTCCTCTCAGTAGGGTTGTTTACAGCACACGCAATTTCCAGTTAGCTTCTTAGCTTAGCCTCCTTCACAGCGACATACGTTGCGGCCAACCAATCCAATCATTTTAAACTTCAACAGAGGCCACGCCTCCAGCAAGAATCGCTTCTCTATGGCCGCGAGTTCAGACCCACCCTCGTACGAAGCAAAGTGAAGGACAAGGGTCTCGTCTCTCCTCCAAGAGACTTCTTCAGTCTGATGAGTTTCAGGTGAACTCAGCCTTATAAGCACTGCCTCCACATGGTGGAAAAGCAGGTAAGTCACATGCAAAAGAGAGCCACTGCCTAACATTAGGCTTGATTAGCTCTATTTAGTCACATGCAAAAGAGGAAGAAGTCTGAAGAAGTCTCTTGGAGAGACGAAACGTTTCACTGAAGAACCCATCCAGAGGACCTACTTATTTTTT